ATATGTTCCTAGGGCAAATAATACAATTTCACTATATTCTAGACGGGGGAATATAATATTAGTATTGGATTGAGCTTTAATATTAGTAAAATCAGATGTTTGTCTATTAATATTGATACTGTTTATAAAATCAGATAAATTATTATTTAATGGAAATCATTCCCTAATCATATTTAGGATTTGCTCAGCATCATTCCTGTTTTTTAACCGAACACCGAATTTATGTAAAAGGCTTGGCAGCTATGAAAAACACACGTGATGTGGAACAGTTTTATATAAAAAATCTTGCCGGAATATTTTAAAGTCTCGTTTGAAGTACCCGTTAACGACTTCAACCACCCATCGGCATATGGTCACACAACGACTCCTGTTAACTTGCTCGGCGGTGAACTGACGCTAACCCTCAATCAGGGATTTAGGCGTATATGTTTTGTGGCTGCAAGCCTCTAACAAACTAATTGAATCTCTAAATCACTTGTCTAGAATAAAAACATTATTTTGAAAGTATTGTCCGAGAGGAGAGTTTTCATTTCTGAAAAGAGACTTCATTATATCTGCATCAGTTATGGCATCTTTGCGACTGCCTCGTTGGTCTAGCTGTTGTAGTAGTGCGACTGCTAATCATGAGGTCCTGGGTTTGAATCCCGGATCAGGCCAAAAAATCAATTATTGGGTTTTTCTGTCAAGAAATTCTCAGTAGCTGCCCGGAGTCAGGAAGTTGGTGGTGTCTCACCCCCGAGCCTCGGAAAGCACGTAAAGCCGTTGGTCCTGCGCCAGATCTCTCTCCGATCATGTCGGTTTACCGTCGGTTTATGAGAGTGGGGAATAGAGAGTGCACCTGTGCTTGCGCATACACTTGGGCACTATAATCCTCTCCTGCGCCGTTGGCTAGCCTCTGTTGAGGCAGGTCGCCGTGGCCGAAATTTGGTCTGGAGGATATTATTATTATGGTAGCTTTGTATGGGCTAAAGCAGTCTACAATGAAACTATCAGGTGTCACTAGCAAAAATGGTTTTAAATAGGTTTTGTTCTTAATTAAGGAATATGTGTGCTTTTGGAACATAAAATTAGAACTTTTGTTTATATAAATATATGTGCCATCACATATAATTATCGTAGTTTCATTATTTTGATTATAAATTGCATTTGGAATCATTACATTGTGTTGCAACAATTGTTCACGGGATATGTGTTCAATTCCCCGATTTATAGGCACAAAATCTTGTAACTAATATTTCCCTAACCTTATCCATTAATCTTTCTAATGTTCGTCTTGGAACATCTCGTCTTCATTAGAAGAGCACTTAAACCTAAAATGCCTCTATTTGTTTCTATAAGACGCGGCGTTTCATATAATATAAGTTCAAATTGCTGTTCGATGTAGATCGATGACCACAGATTAAACGAAGACAAATGACGTTCCGTTGTACGCACTGACCTCTATATATACAAGTACGCTGGACTGGCTATACCATAGAAAATGACTGTGCCAATTTGAAGCGCCGCTAAAGGATGTCTTGAAAAATAAAATTGACATAATATGCCAAAGTTTGTTGTCATATTCAAATTGTCTTATTTAATAAATCAGTATTTTGAACTTTTAAACTAAAAAACGAAAGTATTTTATGTTGTTTAATTGTGTATAATATTAGTTACATAATAAGTATTATTTTTATTATGTAACTAATAATGAGAGTGTGCGTAATCTGTAAAACTCGTTACCAAAAGAGAAGTGGTATAACATTTCACAAGTAAGTGAATTTGCAGCAAATATCAAACAAATTAAAACTATTTGATAATATAAGTACTTAAAAATTTGTTACTAATCTTAATATCATAAATACCAAGACCTTTGGCTGTATATTACTGAGTTTTGATAAACAATAAAATTCAATAGGGTTGTCGAGTTCCTTGTCTATAATACTTATCGATGTTCTTTCCTACCCATATCTGTTAACAAACAAAGTCGCCAACAACAGATGATTATCAAATGTTTATTACTTAACAGTTTTCCAACTGAACCTAGACTAAAATTATGGCTTAAAAGCATAAATATTGTGAATTGGCGTCCGAAACAAAATGATCATATTTGTTCCAAACGTTTCACAGACGACTGTTTTATTAGACATGAGAACTGCACCACTTTGAAAAAGTGCAGTATACCGACAATATTTTCTGGTAGTAACAGTACTAGTAAGTATAAACGTATTAGATTATTATTTCGAATGCATTTTTTTATTCCTTCTTTCCTCATTTTCCACCAAACTCAAGGGCCATAGCCAAGTGTCGAAAGGTCGCCTGATCAAGTCGAGCCACGTTGCATGTGTTTTAGTGGGCTGAAAAAAAAACTGTATCTGCGACTAATCTTCGTTGCTGGTAATAAGAAGTTGTTTAGTTTGTTGTTTCCTCGCTTGAAGGCTAAGTATAGCCATTCAGAGAGGACACGTAGCCAGCATTCTTGGGACGATACCACAGAAAGTAGGACTGTATGATAATTTCAGTAATTTTTTTAATATTGTTATTTTTATTTCGAAAATGACGTTGTAAATAACTGATAACTATGTAATTCAAAGTTTATATTTTTTTATAATATCTTGCTAGCTCGTACCCAGCGCATTGCTGCCGCAGAAGAAATCATTGTGGAAATATCGTTAAAAAGTGGAACAGTTATATTGTATAATTAGGAATGATAATACAATCATTGAAATAGAATGATATATAACTTTCTATAACTTTAAAATAAGCAGTCAGTAAAATACGCACTCCACCTAGGGTCAGTTAATTGTACCGTGCGTACCATGCTTCGCACAAGTGTAACCAATAAGTTGACTAAGTTTTACAGCAATCTGATGAACGGTATAGCATCGTAGAAAGTACGAACAAACATAATTTTTATGTAGTCCAAAATATTTTACTGTCTATAGACAGACCTGTAGTTGATTAGAATAGGCGTTATTATAGCAGCTGATTTGTTTTTTATAATACAAGAACTAAATGAACGGTTGACAATAAATTAATTTAGAAAATATGTTTTTATTTTTATTTTGTGTATTTAGTTCAATCTTAATAATTTTTTAGTTGAATGGTCTAAGGGCTAAGATGGCTATCCGAGTACAAAAACAGAGTACAAAACTAATCCAACTGTAGAGATGTGTAAGACTAGGTTACGTAATATCCCCGAAATACTTTACCGCTGCATTGGAAGACGTTTTCAAGCTACTGGACTGGAAAGGATACGTATATATATGGCGTGTACGTCACTTACCTTCGATTTGCCGACAATATAGTTCTTATGGCAGAATCGCTGTAGGACCTACGAACTATGTTCAATGACCTCAATAGTGTATCCCAACGGATAGGTATTAAGATGAACATGGACAAAAGTCATGTGCACTGTCCATATCACACCTATGCCGGTGGTTTTTGGGCGCACTTAGCTGAAGTTGTTGACGAGTATTTTTACTTGGGATAAATAGTCTGACTAGGTAAGTTAAACTTCGACTGACAGGTCAATCGACGGATTCAACTTTGCTGGGCAGCGTTCGGGAGATTACAACACATTTTCTCGCCAGAAATACCTCAAAACTAGATTGTGTTGCCAGTGATGACCTATGGATCTGAGACGAGGTCTTTCAATGCTAGCCGTATGAGGAAGCTCGGAGTCACTCAGCGAGCTGTGAAAAGGGCTATGCTCAGGGGTTCAAACTTAGGCATGAGGATATCCGCAGCAGAACCAGAGTGACCGACATCGCTCAATGGATTAGTAAGCTGAAGTGGCAATTGACTGACCATATAGCTCAAAGAACCGAAAACCGATGGGGAAAAAAGGTTCTCGAAAGGCAGCCTCGTACCGGCAGGTGAAGTGTAGGACGTTCCCTCACTAGATGGAGTCAAAACCTGGTAAGACATACAGGAAGTTGATGGATGCAGGTGGCTCAGGACCGTGCTTTGTGACATTCCTTGGGGAAGGCCTATGTTCAGCAGTAGACTTGTGAAGGACTTTAATGATGATGAATGATAATGGCATTACATTAATATGATACATAAATAGAATGGAAGTTACAGGTAGAGTCCATCTATCCATAGAGTCCATTCTATATAGGTAAAGGTAGGGTATAGAATTTTTATCGATATAATTTGGTACACCGTCTCATCCCTATTAGTAGTTCCGTGGACGTGCACTTCTGCTGTCAGCGCCAAAATGGCGGAAATCAAATCGCTTCATCATGTCACGGTGTATAGCCAGTCCAGCGTACTTGTATATACAGAGGTCAGTGGTTGTACGTAATTGAACAAAACGTTTAGCTTATTATGACCTAAATAATTATTTTTATGACAATAATCCAGTACATAATAAACCAGCATAGTAGTTGAATTGATGTCTACATACTAATTAAACTGAATTAAAATTAACAACTATTCAGAAAAAGGTGAATAATTATAGTCTTTGAATACCAAGTCCTTTCATAGACGAAATGAGTCGTCATTAGGTGCGTTATGAAACTATTATTTGAAATAATTCTGAAACAGTTACAAAAACGAAAATAAATGAATAACTTATTTTTGTGACTACTTAGAGAGGTATTTCTTGTGTTTTTAAGACCTTAAATAATAAGGGTATTTTTCATCAATATGTTATATTGGAACATCATCGTTTCGTCGTCTGGTACAATTTGGCCAACCTTCTTTCTATCGTTAAATCTAATCATCACACTTTTTAACTAGTTTTGGGAATATGGTAGTAATGTAGCAGTAGGAAGTCCAAAGAAACCAGTAAAACTTTAAAAGTGGTCTACGAGAAAAAAACGTATAGGAACTTCTGATTTATATTATAAGAGACGGTCACACTGCCCGATTTGACAAACGTACTGACTTTTGCCCATAGCGTTCGACACCCACGATATATGGAATGTGAATTTTCTTACACATCACACAGCAGTTGTCCTATATTCTTTTAGAATATGAAGAACTAAGGCAAATTCTTACTATTCGTTTTTCAGATCTTCATGTAACTGGTGATGAAGTTTGGGTGATGGTGAACACCCTGCCAAGGTTTGTATACTCGAGACTCGATACCAACGAGTACAACTTCTACATCTACAGGTATGTCTAAACTGTTTAGCATTAAGTTAAATGAAACAAAAATATACAATGAAACAAATTAAATACTTTAGGTGAGCCCAAATGAATTCAGAGGAAAATTAAGGGTGAAATTTTTAATGCAACTATATGGTTAAGTTTTCACTCGCGAAGCCATCCATACCATCTGGATGATTGGTGATATACCACTGTGGAATTCAAAAGAAATCTTCCTCCTCTTACGACTTCCTTGTGGAATCCATTACCACTAAAGATTTTTCTGGATCTATGCGACTTAGAGACCCTCAAGAAAAGAGTGTACTCCTTTCTAAAAGGATCTATATATCATTTGCAGTGTTCCAGTTGTTAATGGACGGCGGTAGTCACTTACCATCAAGTGATCATGCTCGTTTGCCCCCTCTTATATTAAAAAAAAACATGTGTACAGTTTACATGCGGGAGAAGTGAAACCTTCAGAGAACTAAACTTCGAAAATATGAGTCGAACGCAGGGTATCAGGAGTAGGATAATTGTAGAGTTTATTTATTATAATATTGTTATAGGTAGTACATACTAGCAATTCACGAATGCGGTCGGATGGTTTGGATGTGGTTCGACATGTACATGCACAGTGTGTCAGTGTGCGTGCCTGGCGAAGCGGACGACCGCTCGCGCGCGACCGACCGCTCAGTTGGGCACGCACACTGTCACACTGTGTATGTACATGTCGAACCCCATCCAAAAGTCGACCGCATTCGTGAATTGCAAGAACTATACAGAGTTTAAAAATTATATTAAATATTTTAATATATTAAAGATTAAAACACTGTATACTGTAGGTATTCTATCTCATTCTCGCGCATGCTAAACACAATAGATGTAAGTATATGTTTGTCTTTTTTTAGTGTCGCTTTTTCGTTTCAAATCACAATGATTCTAAGGAAGTTTTCACTTCTAAAAATATACATCACAATCCAGTTGTTACTGAACTTGTGAGGTTCTTCAATTCACTCGAAAGAGTCAAAAAAAAGTGAAAGCAGACTACAGAAACTATTAATATAATTTATTTTATTATATTTTATTTTTAGTTTTTGAAATCACTACTTAACTTTTTATTATTAGTAGACTTGCAACGAATTATCATCATCATCATTACATTACTTCACAAGTCCACTGCTGGACATAGGAACCAAGGAACGCCCATAAAGCACGTTCATAAGCCATCTACCATCACTGACTTCCTGCATGTCTTACCAGGTCTTCAGTCCATCTAGTAGGGGGACACCCTACTTCACTGGGAGCTACATGAGAATTTTTTCCCCATCGGTTGTCGGTTTTTCGAGCTATATCGGCCCATTTCCATTTCAGCTTACCAATCCGTTGGACTATGTCAGTTACTCTGGTTCTACTGCGGATATCCTTATTTCGAAGTTTATCACATAGAGAAACCCCGAGCATAGCTCTCTCCATAGCTCGCTGAGCGACTTTGAACTTCTCCATGCGGCCAGCAGTGAACGACCACGTCTCAGATCCATAGATCCATTACAACGAATGTTCGGCAGTTATTCGATATTCGGAATTCTGTCTGCTTTTGGTAAACTGCCTTTCCTAGGGACCGTTGGTCTGGAGGGTGTGTTTCCAACTGTTGGTGCTGGTGCCGTCTCTTACGGTTGCGGAAACGGTACCGTAGGTATCATAAGCAAAGACATTTCCGCGTCCACTTTGGGCTACCCGGCCAACGCTGGGTTGGGTTATGGACCTGGCCTTGCTACCGGATTCGGTTACGGTCCCGCTTTCGCTGGACGCACCATCGGAGGTTGCGGTTGCGGTATTTACTAAGAACCCTACCCTAACCCTATCATACATAATATTAAAAAAAACTTTGCATAACGTAATATTACTAATTCGGCTACTTTTTTCTTATTCGGCCAAATACCGAATATCTGGATACTATTCGGCCGAATACCAATTACTTTAGTAAAATAAAAATATTGATTTATGTTATTATGATTATTATATTATAATGAAATACTTTTATTGTAATCATTAAAGTAGTCCCAGATACGTAATCATCTTCCGTATTATAAAAAATAACAAAAACCATAAGATAAATTTCTTTCCATTTGAATTATCGTAATTAAAGTGGAAGATAATGGTGTACGAAGACGAATTTTTCTGCATTTTCAGGCAGTAGTTTACCAATTTTCTTCTCGTAGACAATCCCAGCTTCCAAGTATAGACGCCTTGAATAAAAAATAGTACTTCCTTTCCATCCATATACTTTTGTCTAATATTCGACTATTCGGCCAGGCCGCAACCAAGTGGATTCTAATCTACTAGCAATGTTTATTAAACTACAGTTTTTATGAGTTCCATAAGGCGACAAGCCAGAAGTTTTGTCACTATATTGATAATTTTGTATTGTTTTTGTTCAGTTTTTACTAAAATAGCATGTAAGAAAAAATTAGGTTAATAATAATAAATTTTCTTTTCAATTTATCAGAGGGAATGTAAGGGATCTGATCGCCGGCACAGTTTGCGACAGTGACTTCCAACGTTTCCTGCGCTAATTAACGATATTAAACTAAATTTATTAATTAGTTTTACTTGTTTTATTGATAATATATACCTATATAATATAGCATCCCTCTTAAAATCCCTGAAGAAGTAGGAATTGTCCAAAGGACAGTGAATTACTCCTTCCATGTTCAGCTAAAATATGGGTTTATATTGAAAATTATATAAAGAAGCTCATCGTCTATACAAATATAAAAGAATATGCCATTAGTCACCTGTTATGACGTGGTAGGTAAGAAACACAGTTTAATAACTATATTGGTATCGTTTATATTTATCACTAAGTGTGATAAGCCACGCTGCAAATACAAAATGAATCGGCTTGACCGAGGAAGCTCCACACTCTCACGGAACACCAGCGTTAAATAACAGCTTAAAGGTTGACTCACGCTAGACCGAGTCGGGTCCGAGCCGAGTGTCGGCCGTAGCACGGTCACCGAGCCGGTCCCGTGCCCGAAATTACAAAGACGGGCCTAGATCGAGCAATTAACGTTGCGCAGTGATGCAGTATACCCGTCCGAGCAAAAATAGACTATAGCCCGTTCTCCGTAAGATGTCCCCTGCCGTGATATTGGCACTATTGCTTGTCAATCTGTTGTCAGTTTGTGATTATAACGCTCGTTTTTGTGTTATTATTTAAAATATTCCGAATTAATTATGCCGAAACCATTTAGAAGCAGTGCAAGAGAGGTTGTGTTGAATGTGCGTGCCTTTTGTGAAAGAGAAAAGGCAAACCAAGCCCCGTTAATTCCACTCAATCAAGTGCGAACTCGCGTCGCCGCCATGACAGGTTAGTAAAATAGGGATGCCAGCTTCATGCAAAATGCCTTTAGTATGGGTAATAATAAGAAATTACTAACATTTCGAATTAAAATAAAAAAGTACGTATCTCAGTTAATTTAATTTATTTTTTTTATGATAATGTCTGTATTTGTATTTTATAAATATTTAATTTTATAAAATGATACAAATTTGGTGTCTATTTCAGGCATGTCGGAGAAAACCGTGAGTAGAATATCTAAAGAAGGTGAAGCTGCTGCCTCTACATCTCAAAAACTCAAGTCTCCTGGAAAACACCGTCAAAGACGTAAAAGGGTGGATCTTGATGATTTCGATTTATGCGCAATAAGAAACAAAATCCATGAAATATATACTGTAAGAAAAGTTGTTCCTACTTTAAATAAATTACTTGTAGAATTAAAGAATGACATAAACTTTGGTGGAGGTCGAACGACTTTGTGGAAAATTTTAAAATAAATTGGATTTCAGTATAAAAAGTGTGGTTCGAAACGGAAAATTTTAATGGAAAGGCACGACAAAGTTGCATGGAGACGCAAGTATATCGTTACTATGAGGCAAAATCGAGCAGATGGTCGGCCAATAGTTTTCTTAGATGAAACATACATTCACGCATCGTATGCAGTGAAAAAATGTTGGCAAAAAGATGACGAGGACGGAGTACTACTAAGTGATTCTGTTGGAACGCGGTGGATAACTATTAATGCAGGTGGAGAAATAGGGTTTATTCCTATTGCTCAATTGATTTTTAAATCACAGAGTAAATCAGGGGACTACCACGACGACATCAACAGAACCAATTTTATAAAATGGCTTTCAGAGAAATGAACTATGCGCTGATTCGTCACCCATATTCCATAAAATATAGATAGAGCGTGGCTCCACCACAAAGGTCTCAGTCTTATCGATTACTTCATTATGTATTGTAAATTAATAGAAATAACTATTTTAGTCACTAAGTAAAGTATATGCAGGCTAGACAAAATAAAAATTATATGGATTTCTGTTCTTCAAAGGTTGGATTTTAATAAAAACTGTCTCATATTATCGTCCAAAATTATAGTATTATTCTTCTATTCAACTATATGTCATTTTTATGTGGCCTCTCTACGACTTATACCCAATTTGCCTCCGAACTCCTTAGTCGTGATGGATAACGCTTCCTATCATACCGTACAAGTAAATAAAGCACCTACTATGAGTTCCTCAAAACTTCAAATGCAAAATTGGATAACAAATAAGGGATTGTCTTATATACCAACAATGCTGAAAGCAGAACTTTATGAAATTATAAAAGAGCACAAAGAAGCGCCGATTTATGAGGCTGACCAATTATTGCTTTCTCATGGCCATAAAGTGGTTAGGTTGCCCCCTTACCACTGCGATTTAAATGCGATTGAGTTTATGTGGAGTCTTTTAAAGAGACGAGTAGCCAGCAATAATGTCGGCCAAGAAGCTGGGAATATCGTGAAGTTAACTGAAGAAGCTTTTTCATCTATAACCCCTCAGGATTGGCAAAAGCAGTGTGAAAGATAAATTTAGAAGACAAGTTTTATGTACTTGATGGCTGTATGGATGATATTACTGGTAAATTCATAATTGAATTAGGAAATGACAGCAGCACAGATTCGGATACGACAGATGATGATGATGACGACGTTTATGAAAGTGACAGTGATACGAGTATGTCTGGAATTGTTCCTTTCGACCATAATTATTGTCGGAAAAAATAAATCAATAAATAATTTAAAAATTAAATTGTGTTATCATTCACAACCTTACTAGTCTTACAACTAACTGTATATTATTTAAATAAGCAAGTAAAACATATTAATCAAGAGTTTTAAGTTTAGATAATTTTGCCAGCAACCACCAAGTGGGGTAAATGCTCCATATATTGTTGGAAGCACCGTAGACAATGCTGTCATTTCCCAAGGCAGGGGACATCTTACGGTGAACGGGCTATACTAACTAGACTATAATCATGTTGAAGTTTGACGATCTGTAATTAGCGGCTATTGCGATCGCTCTGGACCATGAAGGTTAGAGAACAGGAGAACGATCGCCGTAGAAAATAGTGTCCCAGAAATATGGACACCATAAGTGAGGCGCTGCGATCGCTAAGTTCGCTCAATAAAAGTCATTTTCAGTCTATTTTTCCGATCAGATGCTAAACCACTTGCACATCCATGCACAATAAAATATTTCTCCATTTTTTAATGTTTCTTTTTGTCAAAAATTACAAAATTACGGAGCATGAAAATTTTCTCACCAATGTCGCGGAGAAAATTTATACATTATTCAACTAACTTCATCTACTTGTATTCACAAACAGCTAACTTCGCAGTCACTACTCACCGACGTCAGCGCCGCTATGTATTCTACGATTTTCAAGGACAGGCGGGCTATGCTTTAGTACGTAGTGATCGTTCTCCAGTTCTCTAACCTTCATGCTCTGGACGATGAAGAATCTGATAAATGTTTAGCTACAAGCTGGGACCGAGTTGTTGCCGAGCGTTGTACGTTACTCTGCCGTCACTCGGTTGCCGCTCGCTATAGCGTGACTGTGTCTATACAAAATATATGTAATATAAGTTGACCGTGCTACGGCCGACACTCGGCTCGGACCCGACACGGTCTAGCGTGAGTCAACGTTAATGCTGCTGTGTTTCATATGTTATGTAGTATGTATAGTCCTTAAGGGTGACAACGTAAATGCATTTTCGAGTTATCGATTTTTAATCGAAGGAAGATGTAGTAAGTCTATGGGTCACAGCATCCATCATCCACAGTAGACTGTGTTTTTTTATTGGATTGAGTGACAAACGAGCACACAGTCCACTTGATGGTAAGTGGTTGCTGCGGCCCATAGACATCTACATGTTTAGCGAGATAAATAGTCTATACAAGTAATTCCACAACACTGACAGTTAAAATGTTTACTTTAATACACACAAGCAGGAGATACACAATTTAGCACAAACAAGCAGAAGATACACAAGCCAAGATAAAAGAGTTTATAATAAAAATACAGTCTAGCAAAAGCACAATCAATATTAACCGTAATCATTGATTTATATAACACTAGATCAGTAATAACCGCCCAAAGCGTTGCCACTGCACATATGGCCACAGCCATATGCCTAGCTAATGTGAGTTCATTGTTCAATGTGACGCCGACAGAGTTGAGCCGCGATAAAAATGGGTAAATGCGTAGGGAAAGAATACTATTCAAGGTCACAAAAACGTAATGAATCAAGCGGAATCACTTTTAACACATAATTTTAAGTTCTTGTTTTCATATAAACGTAAAAAACCTCAAATAATTAAATGAAATTATCGAATATTGCCATTTAGGTTCAATGTTGCCACTTTTCCGCATTTGTGATTATCCTACATTAATGGGAGACTATATAATTAATGGATTAAGTTAATTTGTTACCTCTGATTTTAAATATTTTAGAAATTAGAATAAAAACTACGTTTTAACTTTCAAGCAAAATAATTAATTATTCTTATTTTAGTTTATTAATGAATTATCTATTAAATATACATATTTTATTACCTATTTTATATTAATAATTTTATATTATTTATAATTTCTTATAAATTTTATATTAATTATATTTTATTACCTATTTTATATTGTTTGATTTATTAGTACCATAAAAATACGTTTTATTTCATCATTATGTTTACTTCTATTCATCTGATAAGCTTTGTATCCTTTTTTTCTCAGGGGGACGTAATAAAGATTTTAAAATAAAATATACTTTTTTTAATATAAAAACAATTAACTGCAGCTTAAAAAAACTCATTTTTATTGCGTATTTTAGGTAAAATTTCACATAGTAAGCCACACCAACCCCCCACTGCATGTTTGTGTGTCTATCTTTATCTAATCTTAGCGACGATATTGTTTTCGCAACTTGTGTAAGTGAGATAGATATATGTTTACTTAAAATTGTTATTAGTTTCAAAGCTACGTCGTCGCGTTTGGATAGTGGTTACACTTTTTTCGACGCGCGGTAACTTGGTTTGCTCCTCTAGTGTTGTATAACTCAATGACCGTAATACTTAAAGTCTATGGCGAGAACAAGGGATTAGCGTTAGCGAGCAACATGCGTTCCGCGTCGTATCGCTAGAACGACTGGTGAACGCGGTGCGCGGACGCAGGCGATCCTTTTGCCAGCTG